CTGTTTGTTTTTCTCTTATATGTACTTTTATTTACTGGTTGGTATATATCTTTCAATTTTGTACAGTGTATATGGGCACAAGACCTGATCTCTGTGTAAATACATGTATTCTGTGAATATAAGAACCTGAACAGCACATTAGAAACCGTTCTCCAGTATTAATACACTTTAAAAAATGATGATGTTATTATAATTATTATTATATACATTTTTCATTAATACTAGTGGTGTATGGTATTGTTGTGCACGATGAAATTTATATAATTGCATTTGTTTATTTTTTTTAATTTCTTTCTTTAAATAAATGTAATCTTATACTCTCTTATAGGGGGTTGGGTAGCCGAATGGGTAGCATATGCGCGCTGTATCATAAGGTCTGTCATTGAGTCCACTGGCGTGGTTTAGATTCCATGGTTGTACTTGACAAGGAGAAGGGTGGCCTGTCCAACCTCATGGGTTTTCTCTAGGTCCTCCGGTTTCCTCCCACTGCTAAAGACCACTACACGCAAGCGAATTATTGGAATAAAATTGAACCAAAATTACCTAGTTTGTGTCGAGTGGAAGTTAAACCCCATTTCTCTCTCTATATACTCTTATAATAAGTCTATTGTTTTCTCTTTTTAAAAAAATAGTAAAATTGATGAAGGTGAATTATTATTAATTGTATCGATCAGATCACATGGTATTATTATTTTTGTTTTTTCTTAGCATTATATATAATTATAAGACCGAACCAGTATTTCAAGCATGCCAAAATCGTTTTCATCTGTATTAAGTATATATTTCTCTTGGATATTGTTTCACTGAAATAGTTTTGAAGAAATACTTGTTTCCAGAAATTAAAAGATTCATTCAATCATTGGTGCTATTTCCTAATTATTGGCCATATTTATGCCACAGATCAGGAGTAAGTCGTCTTTACCGGGTCAATGCAACATTTCACAGGTGGGATTATCCAGTAATCCCGGCATATTTGCAGAGAAATTCTATCAGACAAAAGTAAACAATCCAACGTGTTCCGTCTCATAAAAGGTATTCACTGGTCTATTTATGGCTATTGAACCTTGACCTATGATTGGCTTAGAATTTGATTTTTTCACCCGATTATGGCTACATTTGACAAATATAGTTCGAGACGTAATTCGAGTGCAAGACGTATTGTGCAATGCATCGGAACAGAAATATATGCGACAGTGACGGCCTACTGGTTAAATTATGTAACAAAGCGTCAGATTTTCACCCGGAATTTGCTGGGACGAGATGAAACGATTTTCGGGGCTAAATCACAGCCTATTTCTCCTGTTTAATAATCATCAACATTGTCAATATATCTATATAATGGGTTTTATCTTGTTAATAATTATATGTAAAATTCAGGAGCAGTTAAAATTTTGTTTTGATGCGGTTGGTGAATATCTAGATGAGTTTGCTGTTTATGCCAATTCCTGCTAATATATATATATATATGACATCATTTATGAATAGTCCCAAAACGGACGAAAAGTACTTTAAAATGTTAAAGTGTTATTAGACCAGTGTTGAAATCAGTTTTTGTCGGCATACCTTTTATCTTTTCATCGTCTACCGTGAAACAAAGTAGTGCAGCTTTACGGTTGTGTTAATATTTCTGGATATATATATATATTAGCAGGAATTGGCATAAACATATTCCATATTCATTCTTTTGAATGTGTTATCAACTTTTACTTCATAAAAGGGAAACTACTAAATTTAATATTTAAGGTCTTATCACAACAGTAGGTGAGGATTTAAGGGGGTGGCGGTGGGGTGGGGTGCATCGATTCCATTATAACATCATTCTGCCACTCCTCTCTGTCATATTCACGGCTATAGTGAATCGTCCAGTTAATTGTGAAATGAAATGAAATGAAATGGGGTTTAACGTCCTACTGTTCTGCTCCTAACCTGGGCTAATGAAGACGGGCATACGCCATACAGTGTGCTATGAGGGAAATTTTGCCCGGGCAGCGGCACTATCGCCTACTCTTATATCGAATTCCAACTGCCAAGGGATCTTTTACGTGCATTCCAATGTATACACGGGACCTCGGTTTTTCGTCTCATCCGAAGGGCTAGACAGCTGTCCTTGTCAGGCCCTCCGTCCTGCATCACTGACAAGGGGGAACCACGCCGGAAAATCTGGATGAACTTTCTCGGCCAATGGAGGGATCGAACACCCGACCTCCAGACTAGCGAGCCAGCGCCTTACCCACTTAGCCACCAGTTAATTGTACCTCTGTACGTGGGTCGTGTGGCGACAGACTGTACACATGTTATGTCAACTATTACGCAACAGATCTCGGGATTCTGTCCCGTTGACTCTCATTAATTCACAAGGATTTGCTCCCAGCAATGACCACAAATGTCAGATTATTGACTCAATGTTATTATCAGCTAAAATAAGAATAACATAAGAATACTATTTATAAAAATACCAGCAGTAATTATGATCGAAATACCTTCAATGTCAATCAAGTAAATTATCCTAAGAAGATATAAAACTTTACAACTCAAAGAAGAATAAAAAACTAAACTATAAATTTTAGAGCATATTCATTTTAAATTATTCTTATCGCGTTCACAAATTTTATGATGCAAAATGTGACCAAATTAACAATACCCCGAAATACCTCAATAAATAAATACTCTAATAAATGACCCGAAATGCCACATTAATAATCCCAACAAGATATAATTTATTTTTTTAAAAGTACATAAAAAAGAACACACCAAGCATAATTGTCCTGTATTGTCCTTTAGATGATTAAAAGCGCATTCGATCAGAGAATATTGAAATCGATAGGCTTCTTCCATAAATCGTAAAAGACAATCCCACCACGTTTTCAAAAATTATACCCGGAACTCTGTCCTGCATCACCATCACGTACAAAAACACATTTTACCTACTACTACCAAATGCAATTTAAACAAACTAAATATGTTAATTCAATTTGATATAAAAGTGATAGGATCGCCTAGATGTTGGTCAAACATAAACATTTTGGAATTGACGGAATTTTATTTGTGGGTTGTCTTAATAGAAGCCTCTGTCAACCAAGTCTGAATATTTTCATTTCAAAGGCATTACAGTCTCAATTAACCATACCGTTTTAGGTAGTGGGCGTACACAATTGGATTAAGGGACTGGGTCATCAAGCAACAATATTTTTAGTTACTACCCAAGAAAGATACACGTTTATAATATTATATACGTTTTATATAAACAGGTGAATTATAAGATGGGCGTGTATAATATTATATACACATCAGATGACAGTAGAAATACATTGGGCAATATGCATAATTATGAAATGTATATGCAATATGACATATTATAAGATAGACGTTTGTCAGATTATATACACTTTGAATGACAACAGAAGTATAATATACAGGACTGTGAAATATAAATGAGATATGTGGGTTATATGGAGGTACAAGTTTACAAAACCACAGTGTTACTATGTAAATATGTATAAATATACTATACTATCCATCTTATACAATGACATTATATATGAATAGTCCCAAGACGGACGAAAAGTACTTTAAAATGTTAAAATGTTATTAAACCAGTGTTGAAATCAGTTTTTGTCGGCATACCTTATATCTTTTCATCGTTTACCGTGAAACAAAGTAGCGCAGCTTTACGGTTGTGCTAATATTACTGGAGATATATATATAGTAATAATAGAAGTACACTAGAAGACCAATAGATAATATTTTTAAAACAATTACTGATATAAACTAGTGGGAATTGACATATATATTTTGTTTTGATGCGGTTGGTGAATATCTAGATGAGTTTGCTGTTTATGCCAATTCCTGCTAATATATATATATATATATATATACGAGGTATGTGTGCGGCAAAATTTTGAACGGCACATTAAGAAAATTTGTCACTAAAGAAATCAGCTATTTGACTGATAAAATTCGAAACACTGCAATACAGTTTGATTCATGAAATTCGTTACACTGTAATAAAATAAGTTCATAGCTGTGTTTTTCTTTATTTAGTTTGAGTTATTCTATGCGTCTATGACTATGTCGTATACGGTTGTATGCCGTCTGACGTACCATGTTTTTATTTTACAAAATTCAAATATTTTTCATATATATTTATTATAGCCAGGTGTGCCGCTATATTTTCATGTGTTCCAATGTGTGCCGTTGGCAAAAAAAGGTTGAGAACCACTGGATTAGACTATGTAAATTAATGCCATATGTATCGTATACTTTATAGATTTGCGTTGTACGTTATCTGATATAATTTATAATACAATGTCAAGGAAATCTATTATTCTACGAATGTATATATGTATGGTAAAATCTAATTTTCGGTATACATTATTAATATCTGAAGATGTCTGTAGATGGCAGACAGCTAGCGTATATGATTTAATGTATGTCAGAAAGAAGTAAAGTGGTGAATGTTTTACCTGGGCGTATTTTTTAAAATTCATTTATGTATTTATCTACCGTTAACATAGAAGTACTTGTACTTTATCTATACGGCATACCTTTTATCTTTTAATCGTTTTCCGTGAAGCTAAAAGATAACGGGTATGCCGTCACAAACTGATTTCAACACTGGTTGTTTAACATTTTAAAGTACTTTCCGTCCGTCTAGGGGCTATTCATAAATAATGTCATTTATTGAGAATGAACATTACAGGTCTGATTGAAAGCGATTGCAGCACAACCTATGTTCATCATTTTAATTTTCATATATACCTTATGCCTGATGATCCACGTAGTGAGTGAAAGCGTTAACTAAGATAGAATTAGTTTTCTCTTTATAAAACTTCATATTTGGTAAATACCTTTACTTGAGATTAAAATTGTTTTTATTAACTTTTTCTGATCTTATATTGCGCCCTATTATAATAATTCACTGTAGTGTGACAATATATACACAAATCCCCGTATACAGATCACCATGGTCTACTGTAATTTACTTCCTTCTTTAAAATTATCTCATATGAGGTGTTGGTTTCACCCATTTCACAAAGTTGAGGCACATATCCCGGGCGGATTATACATGCTTGTTATTCTATTGGTATTGGTACAGGATATATGGTAAGTTTTATAATTTATATCTATATATTTAAAGAATTATTACTTGATACAAATATTATGATAACACAGATTCAAATACCTGTCACTTTTTACCTTAAGTATAACAAATGAATTCGAAAAAGTTTACTTATACGTGGACGTTTACAACCAACACCACAAATTAGTTTGGTATGTGAAATCTTCAAATAGAAATATACGACTTCTAAGAAGACAACAAGTGACATTATACGATATGAACTGTCGCTGTATGTCGTTTAGTACAATTTTATTATTCAGAAACTATATACTATTCAAAAAAAGTAGGGGATATTTGATTTTTAAGTGTTATTAAAGTCACCTAATGAAACTGACGAAGAAACAAATGACAAAATGAAATGAAGTTCACATTCATCGATTTATTCCAAATGATCGTGAGACTAAGTAAGGCACAGACTGACCATTATAAGGGTAAAATGATACCCGGGGTCAAACAGCAAAGTTACCACAGCATCACAACCAAGTCAGTAACGGGTAAATCCTCCTCTGTTTGCCAAACAAGCATTGATCCGACGTGGCATACTCCTAATGAGACGTCTAAGGTCATTTTGGTCCAGATTGTCCCATTCCTGTTGCAACGCAGCAGCAAGTTCTTGGACATTGGCAGGACGTTGTTGACGTTGACGTAACCTCTGTCCAAGCATGTCCCAGACATGCTCGATGGGGGAGAGGTCGGGACTCAGTGCTGGCCAAGGTAATGTGGTGATGTTCTGTTGTTGGAGGTAACCTGTAACGATCCTGGCCCTGTGACATCTTGCGTTGTCATCCTGGAAGATGAAACGGCGGCCATGACGTCGTGCGAACGGCACAACATGGACTGCCAAGATGTTGTCCCGGTAGTACTGGCCTGTAACACGCCCTGCAACAACATGTAAAGCCGTTCTTCCACCAACAGTGATGCCTCCCCACACCATAACAGAACCACCCCAAAATCGATCATGTCTGATGACGTTAACGTCTTGGAAGCGCTCGTTTCGACGACGCCACACCCTCCTACGTCTGTCCAAAAAATCAACAGTGAACCTTGACTCATCTGAAAACATCACATTGCTCCAGCGTCGATTATCCCAGTGTTGACGATCCCTACACCAACGACGTCTTGCCTGAATGTGATGATCTCTCAAACAAGGGATCACGCGAGGACGTCGGGCGCGAAGGTGACCCCTATGCAGTCGATTCCGAATCGTCTGGCCACTCACTCTCACACCAGTGTCTGTTTGAAGACGAGCGCTGATCTGATTTGCTGTGATGACACGATTTCTCAAGGCCAAGGTACGGATAAATCGATCCTGGGCTTGAGTTGCCGCCCTTGGTCGACCTGAGCGTGGTCTGTCCTGTACAGATTGTGTATCACGGTATCTGGACCATAGCCTGCTTATGACAGACTGAGAAACATTCATCGTCCGCGCCACAACCGCCTGTGTTGTGCCGATCTGTAGCATGCCAAGGGCACGTAACCTTTCATTTTGGGTAAGCCGACGCATATCAAAATTTGTTTTCTGGTCACTAAAACAATTAAACTGATGTTTCCACCCTGGAATTCAATGCCACAATGACTGTAACATTCAAAGTCAGAGTCGTGCAAATCTTGGGTTGGACCCCCATGATGATCCCAAGCATCACCTGCATTCCATGCGGTAGCTATTGGTGCGTTTGGGGGTCACATGTAACTGGAAATGTTTCTTCTGTTAGGTTCTATAGTGACTTTTTTCGTAGTCATTTGCATACTTTAGTATTATGCCCCCAAAATCAAATATCCCCTACTTTTTTTGAATAGTATATAATAAGTCGGGCATATTGTAATAGGCTAAACGATGACAAACACGTAAATAGGAGGATTTGACGGGTTGTAGTCACACAGACTTATATAACCTGCAACTAAACAATACAATTTATTTAGTCTGTTCACAATAGACTGTAAATTGCAATACCTCCTGTGCTCTTAAAAAGTATTTATTTATCAGTAAAATGTATGTTTATCTACTTCCCATCCAACAGATTGAAATATCTTTTTATAATACTCACACAAAACCGAGGAATAACATAGTTAAGAGATTAGTTACGTTGAAATATAGGGCGGGCAGTTGTATTTTTACTTGTATGCCACTTCCAGTTTCCATGGTGAACCTCATCCATATGTGATAGAAAGCGTCCAACCCAATTAAATTCGGAGTAATCTTACAGCCGTGCACAGAGACAACAAATAACATGAAAGTACAACCCAACTAAAATTCGGGGGAAAGTTACATCTGGCTAAAGTGATTAAAATTTACATTAAAGTCAATGGATAGGAAATAATGTCATGTGTACATTTATATTCCAAGTAATGGCGACTAGTTTCTATAACGTACAGTTATCGCCACTGGAGCATGTTAAAGATAATATGTCACACATTATAGACAAACGTCGTTCTTTATATGTATGCTTTATTTAAAGACATACACGTTCAACAAGGAAGCTACTATCTGTACATATTTACACAAGCGATAGCGGTATGAAGATTAGAAGGGCTATATTATTCAGCAAAAACCAGTCACGTGTTACGATAGTAATAGACGACGGTAGCATGTAAACACCAATAAGCTTTATTATATTTATAAGGGTACTGAACATTACTCCCATGTCATTACATGTAAAATCATTTATGTTTAAAATAACTGATATTTTAAATGAATATATATAGATTGAAGTCTATGTTCATATAAATCTATATATTGGCCTTTATTAATTTTATAAAGTAACATTACGTGGATTTTTATTTTAAGCGAACCGTATTTAAAATTCACAAATAGATGTTTAAAAAATGGAATTTGACTCTTTTGTTTATCTTAGGCCTGACGAATGTGGTCAACAATGAAAGTCAAAGAGTTGTCAGCAGTTATAATTATATTATTGCTATTAAAGTATAATTTAGGTAAGTAGTACTCATTAACATTGTTATAGTATTTATATACAATTAGAAGCCAAGGTGGTCTATAATCGGTTGAACTCGCTGTATTTAGGTTCGTGCTCGCCCCATCAAATAAATTGGAGATTAAACTGCATTTAATTTCATTTTCTATATAGATGAAGGTCGTCTATAATCTGACGAATTTGATGTTGTTATTTTCCAACGATATATTAATTAATGTGAAAGTGGAATAATTATCGTTCCTCCATGCAGTCATCTAAGCGTAAAATCGAATTTATTTTGCAAGCACTGTGTGTTAATTAAGATTTAGATGAACAGCTGGCTGTTCTTGTTATAATAGTTCCAAAATAGATAATGGAAAATAAAAAGAATATATTGAAAATGTCAGTCAAACTATCGTTTCTGAGCTAAGTTATCCGGCTTTGAAGTGTTCACAATATAGTCTCGATTGTCAAGTACCATTGTTACGATAATAAACAAAGTCTCGAAAATCCATTTTAAATCAAATTATTAAATGGCGATTGTTTCGATCCACCGAAAAGCGCGACCATCCGAGTATCTGTTGATCATGGGCTTGACATGTGAATAAATGTTTAATTAATAATGTATATAATATTTGAGTCCAAAAGAAAGGCCTGTAATATGCAGATTTCGCTCTTACATAAATCATCTTTAACATATATTCTGTATTTAATTAGTAACGTAGCCATCGTATATTTTTACAGCTTTAAATGAATGTAGAGATACAGATAACATCAACTGTCAATCATGTGGTAATACTGACTATCCTAGAGAACAGTTTTATAGACAGAACTGTATGAGATCATGTGGTGTTTGCACAGGTATTACTTGCTTTATTGTATTGAATAATTTAAATAGCTAAAATTGTAATGAACGTTTCTGAAATAGTTATGTTTAAGTACCTATGCATTCCATAACATAATTCAAGAATATGACTGTTTGTGTAACCGGTCAGGAAATAAGCACATCTACAGGGTTATGTATTAAACTAATAGTTTTTTTTAGTAAACCTTTTGCAATAAAACAAGAATTTACATATTGTTTTCGAATTGTATTTTGTTTATATATTGTATTTACATGCTGTATGTTTACATGTAATATTTACATGTTGCATTTACATGCTGTATATTTACATGTTATATTTATGCCCTACATGTTGTATTTACAAGTTGTATTTACATTCTGTATATTTACATGTTGTATATACAAATTGTATTTAAAAGATCTTATATAGGCCCTACCTTTGTATCTACCTGTTGTATTTGGATGTTGTGTTACATGTTGCATTTTGTTTTGTAGGGGGGGGGGACTGAATGGTTAGCACGTGTATTGCTGGCGGATGTGGGCAGAAAGATGATTTAATATACATATTAATTCGACATTTAATGTTCATATTAAATCGATTTAATATGTGTATTAAATCAACCAATGGGAGCATCGTTTTTATTATCCATATTAAATCGGTTTAATAAGTGTATTATGTCCACCAATAACTAGCTAGGGAATAATAATATCTGTATTAAATCAACCAATGGGAGAACTGTTTTTAATATCTATATTAAATCGATTTAATATATGTATTAAGTCCACAAATCACTAGCTAGGAATTAATATCTATTATATCAACCAATGAAAGCCATCCTTTCAATGATTGGCCATTGTGTCAATAATTAATGTAAGACGGCGCCAGCGACACGAAATCCTAATGAAATGGCACGTTTAACTGATTTACAACAATTCATTGATGATTTTCGGAACGAAGTAAATGACTGTTGCAGAGCATTCACAGTTGAAGAAGACAGTGCAGCAATTACTGAACGTCTGTTTCATCGTCTCGAGCAGTTACACCGCGATCTTTACCGGCCAAGAGAGGGTTGATGCTGTTCTGGGTCACTAGAATACCCGACAAGAAAGACATTCTTATTTTTTTTAAATCGTTGACGTCTGCTCACAGCGTCGAAATTCGCGGCAGTCATTAAAAGGGTGGCTTTCACTGGTTGATTTAATACAGATATTATTTCATAGCTAGTGATTGGTGGACTTAAATCGATTTAATATGGATAATAAAAACAGTTCTCCCATTGGTTGATTTAATACAGATATTATTTCCTAGCTAGTGATTGGTGGACATAATACACATATTAAACCGATTTAATATGGATATTAAAAACGATGTTCTCATTGGTTGACTTAATACACATATTAAATCGATTTAATGTAGACATTAAATGTCGAATTAATATGTATATTAAATCATCTTTCTGCCCACTTCTGCCAGCAATACACGTGCGCGCTGTATAATAACGATAAAGTCTGTCATTGAATCAACTGGCGTGGTTTCGATTTCCCGGTTGTACGTGACAAGGAGTAGGGTCGCCTGTCCAACCCCGTGGGTTTTCTCCGGGTCCTCCGGTTTCCTCTCACTGCTAAAGACCCATACTCATACTCTCTCTCTCCCCCACTCTCTCTCTCTCTCTCTCTGTTTTGTATTTACATGTTACATGTATTTGTATTTTGTATTTACATGTTGTATTTACTGACAACTAAGATGTTTTTCATTCACACATAGCATGCGTCGTTAACCTCCATCTCTACTATTAAATATCTATTTCTAGGCCAAATACAACAAATAAAATGTCCGCTTTGGGGAAGAGGGAGGGTGGGTGGGTAAAGTGGGTGTTATAATTCATAGCACTGATTACTTTTTGTGGAGGGTGCGGGTAAGCATGTACATAGCTGACTTGTTGACAAGCGACACATCCTTTATTTTAGAAATAGAAGAGCCGTACACATTCAAGATGAGATGCTTGATCGTTCCCCAACTTTCAATATAATATTATTCTAACTGTTTAACCAGCTACATCAACAAAGTTCTTTTTAAACAGATATACTCACCAATGTTGCTCTTCGTCAACAATCAGTACAACAGAGTTCTACAAAATATGGTGGTGTCGCTTCTAGAGCTGTAGATGGTAATACTAATAGTGATTTTAATATTGGCCAATCATGTACTCATACACCGGAAGGAGTGTCTGGTTGGTGGTGTGTTGATTTACAACAGTTGTATTATTTCAACCAAATTAAAATATACAACATACAGAACAGAAACTGTAAGTAGATATATATAGATAGGCTACCTCCTTAGCATGCTTCACATTATAGCATTTGTCTTAAATATTGGACACCAGAAGCCAATCTTAAATAGTGGATATCAGAAGCCCCTCTTTTCTCGGTAAGATCACAACATGAATGTTGATTTAAATTGACAAATAATATAATGTTTTTCAATTGTTAAGGTCTGAAAAAATGGTAGTGAGAGTATTAGTTGCTAACATGAAGAACTAATCGGTATTCCAGAGCAGCGATTAAACTGAATATGGCCTATTTAATTGATAAATTTGGGATTACCGATGTTTATCTGATTCTATTCTTAGTGTTTGATTGATTATCAGAGTTCATGCTCGTAACCATGGAACAGTATTTCCATAATAAACAAACCAATAAACCCTGTTCATCAAATCCATTTGAACAGGTAATGATTTGGCTCGAGGAACACCATATCATTCTATCTACGTGTATCTACGTCCCCAATATTATATATAAAAATGTATGGTTTATATCAACTTACTGATATATATTATAACACCCGCAGACGCTTGAGAAAGAGCAGAAAGCTAGCTTATGATTTGATGAATATCAGAATGACGTCAAGTGGTTGATTTTGTTTATTTATTTGATTTTGCAAATCACACAGCTTTGATTAACATTTGAAAACTAATACTCATTGAAATAATATATCTCTTTCTATTGTAAGGTAATATTAGTAATGACGATAATGGTCATACTAATCTTTGATATACGTTTTTAAAGTTGAAATCCATTCATCCGTGGCACATTATTAATTATACGTATCGAATATAACTTGATTTACACAACATAACACCCCTTATATTTAGTTTAGAAAACGACTGAATCTATGTTTATAAAAGTAATATAAGAATTAAAGGGTGGTATATTAAACATGATTATAATACAACACAGTGCGAGATACATTAATTATAGATATACATGCAATACAATACAAAACAAGGCGAGATGCATTACTTATAGATGTACATGCAATACAATACACAGTGCGACACATTAATTATATATATATATAGACAATAAAATACACAACGATTAACATCGACAAGTGAAATAGCAAGAATTGAAACGACAGTGCTAGTTTATGCTTGATTTTATATTTTCATTTATTTTCAGACTGGGGGAGATTACAAAGATTTGAGATAAAGACAAGTTCTAGTGGTCAGTGTAGTGAACAAGGACTTGAATTAGCTACAACATGTTATAAAGATACAACATCAACAATACAGTCTGTTTATAATGTAGCTGGGTGTAATCAAGGTTCATCTACATCATTTTCTGGTAAAACTGTCTATGTGCAAAGCTTTAACGACGCCCTAGAAATGTGTGAAGTTGAAATTTTTGCAGGTAACTGACGTACTTATATCCTACTTTACGATTACAGGTTTAGCTGTAGATATACTTATTTAACCAATCGTTCCTAATTTGTCACTATAGACAATAAACCATCTGCCTAAAACATTTTAGTTTTGATGTGTCTCAGGGCTTAGTTTAAGGTTCAATTTTGTTCAGCATTTACACCACCCGATTAATGAGAAACATTGTCAACAGTCCAAATTTTACCCGGCTGATACTCAGTTGTATCTGAGGCTTAAACCCTCACTGCCTCGAGATTCCAATACTGCTTCGAGATTTCGATACATCGAAATATCAAATTGAAAATTGTATTAATTAGATTCGTATATGGATAGAAATCAATTTCCCTAAACTGAATGAAGAAAGGACTGAATTTATTTTGTGAACAAACTTAATGAAGATGTTTCAGTCTTAGTAGGTAAGCATCAAATAATACCGCATCTTATTTGCAGGTCTTGTTATTTTCATCTAAGGTAAATCAGTAAAATCAGTAAAAAATATCCAGTTGAGTCCATAAAATACACTGAGGTCATCGAATGATCATTATTCAATTGTGTGCAAAGCATCTAGACTGAATGCTTACGACGAGCGTTCATTTGCTCTCGGAAGTTCCACCCCTTTGTCTAATTTTAAAACACAATTGAAAACACTTTTTATCTATATATTTATTTTCACTATTTCTGTTTAAAGATCTTTATACAGTTTTTCTTATTGAACTATGAATTATTTTTTTTTTGATTTCTGAAATGTATGTTTTTACTTGTACAACTGTATAGAAGTTTTACTTTTACTTAAATTATTATATATCCTTATATCTTTAACTATACATTATTTTTAAATTATGGTACATTTTGCTTGCAATGTATGTATCTGAATACATTTTGTAAAAGCCTGCGCCATATAAATGATTAGTAATACTTAAATATTACCAGCTGCTATATCTATTTTTTATACACAAGAATAGGTAATTTGGATTTAGATATGTGATCTCCTTAAAAAATCTTTCATCTGACTGAAAAATAAAATTATTGTTCTGTTGGATTGATATGAGGACTTGTTTATAGGATGCCATACTTTCCATGAAATTATTGAGTTGGTGTCCTTCTGTGAACTAAGTAAATCAGTCAAGTATTAAAGTAAACATAATTAACAAAACAAATCTAAACAGAAATAAATGAAGTGTGAAGTTTCTCCATAGCTAGTCGAAACAAGACATCATATCAATGAGATGTAATTTCAATTCTCTAAAGCCTCCTATTATGTGTTTAACATTTTAGTAAATATAACTTAAATGGCAGATCGTAGGTTGAGATATTTCATTTCTATATTTGCATATTGAGTAAACTGTTATACAGTACATCAAATGGAAAATGATAACAACGCGTACATAACAATAATATCTAGTAATATAGGATACTGCAGTACAGCAAATAAAACACTTCATAACCACAGAATGTTTATAATTATAGTAATACACGATACTGCTGTATGGCAAATACAACACATATACAATAAATGCTATGATTGTTCCGATGTGATATATTTTCATCTTATTATGCCAGTATTATTCGCGCGATCTTTGATAGTTTTATGCTCAAGTAAAAAAAATGGTAAATTGTGCAATTTTAATATCAGAAATATAGGTCAAATACGCAAATTTGTAACTGTAGAGGCCACTAAGTCACTTGATAATTCTCTGGTCATTTCTCGATTGGATGACTTTAATTCACTTTAAATTGGTTTACCTTGAAAGCGTATAGATAAATTACAAAGAGTACAGAATACTGCAGCTAGATACTTTAACTAGATATGCGACTACATAACTCCTGTTTTATATAATTTGCACTGGTTACCTGTTAAATATCGAATAGATTTTAAGATTTTATTACTTACTTTTAAGTGTTTAAAATAATTTAGCTCAAGTTTACCTCTCTGATCTTTTAGAACTTTTTATGCCCAAAACTGTTCAACTGGTCTCTTTTAGTTATCAAGCACCTGTTTTGTAAAATAATCTGCCATTTAGTTTAAGATGTTGTACATCTCTGTATTCTTTTACAAAAACAACTTAAAACACATTTATTTAATCGGGCGTTTAACAATCGTTAACATGTCCATAACCTTGTTGTGTATTTATGATTACATTGTCATTTTGTAAAGTGCCCATGAACATGTTACATGAAAGGGCGCACTATCAATATGCCGCAATAATAACACATAATAATTATATATGTCAGCCATCTATGTTACAGATCTAGTATAAGGTAATGATAATAGATATCATCTATGTTACATTTCAAACACAGTGTAATAATGGAAACTACAGTACATCGGGTTCGACATCTCAACAGTATATTTATATTAATATATATCATCTTTATTCCAAATCTGGAGCCCTGGTGGCTAAGTGGGTACGAAACTGGCTCGCTAGCCTGAAGGTCGCGGGTTACCTCCCGGTGTCGGCCCGAAAAGTTCAGGACGAAGGGACTCACATGGACACGTGTCTAGTCGTTCGGATGTGACGACAAACCGAGGTCATATGTACACATTGGCGTATACCTGAAAGCCCCATTGGCATTTGAATTTTGATATTAGAGTAGGCTATAGCGCCGATGTTCGGGCTAAATTCCCCTCATTGGACAATGTATTGTGTATGCCCCAGTCAAAACCGAACAGTAGGCCGTTAAACCCTATTTCATTTTTTATTACAGTTCTAGGACACTGTAATAGTGGATACTACAGTACATCAACTTCTACATGTCAACCTTGTGATACATGCCTTAATGACAGCTGTGATCCTAATACTGGTGTTTGTACTGGAGATTGTAAAACAGGTTTTTATGGTTCCAAATGTCAACATAATTGTAGCAATGGTTGTTTAAACAATAATTGTTCTAAATCTGATGGTACATGTAATAACTGTAAACGTGATAGATTTGGTCTATACTGCAACCTAACATGTGGTGCAGAATGTCAACCAATGCCAGACCAGACGGCGACTACTTGTGATAAAAATGGTAGATGCAATGAGTGTATTATGGGACGATATAGTGATGGATGTGATTTGAACTGTAGTACAGGATGTGATGGTGGATGTGATAGGAATACAAGTAGATGTACTAACTGTATTATGGGAAGATATGGTAAAAGATGTGATATGAACTGTAATACTGGGTGTGTTGGCGGATGTGATAGAAGTGGTAGATGTAATAATTGTATTGTAGGAAGATATGGTAATGATTGTGATTTGAACTGTAGTACAGGATGTGATGGTGAATGTGGCAGAGATTATGGTACATGTACATCTTGTATTGAAGGTAAAACTGGAGACAGATGTGATATCAACTGTACTACTGATTGTACTGTTTGTAACCAGGATAATGCCAACTCTTGTACTGAATGTAAAGATGGAAGATGGGGATCATCATGTAGTAAACTATGTAATACTAACTGTAAACCAGTAGTTGGTACAACTGTTGGTAAATGTAATATAACAAGTGGATTGTGTACTGGTGGATGTAAAATAGGATTATATGGTATAGATTGTAATAATGATTGTCCGTCTAACTGTAAAGATGGTTTATGTGATCACACGACTGGAAATTGTAAAAGTGGGTGTTTACCTGGTAAAATAGGATCTAACTGTAAAACAGGTAAAATTAAAATTCTTTTAACATAACTATTGTGACCATTGTTTCTTTACCAATCTCTGTAATAGACATTTAGACTGGCAACAAGTACATGATTTCTAATAGTCTCTTAATAAAATTAATGTAACAGATTGTGAAGCAGGGAGATATGGTGACAACTGTGACAGCAAATGTGGTAACTGTGCTGATAAAACGCCATGTGATGTAATTACTGGTAGTTGTGGACTTGTTGGTTGTGTTGATGGTTTCCAAGGTCCAATTTGTAAGGGTACACTGTAACAAAAATTTCCGTGAAAAAACGTAAAAAATTCCGGAAACAAAAATTACCAGGAAAATTTTATCCGTATTTGTTTTTCCTGTAATTTACAGAAATTCCTTCAATTAACATAAATTCCATTTTCAAATTCAGAAAAAAAAATCCTGGTAAATTTTCTTTCCTGAGCATGAAGATGATAAAAATTTCATTGAATTAACCATTGACTTTATACCCGTGCGTCAAATAGCTTTATCTAACGTCCGCTTCCACCGAAGTGATATCGCAGATAATTTTTAAACATAACCTCTTTTCGCTAATTTATGAATCGAGAGCAAGGTATCACAACCCGCCACTCGTTGGAGGCTTTCAGTGGTAGACTCTGCTATAGAGACAACCTGACTTACACTGGCCAACGGGTTGTACTATCTGGATTTAAGCCTGCTTGATTACCAGATATTACAACCTTACCACACGAGGCATTAAAACATATTTTTACATATTTATGAAAATACTTACAATCTGATTTCCGTATGATGAATAACAATACACTTTATAGATCTTATAAATAATGGAAATTAGATATACATTTCAATTAATATACCAAACGTTACAAAATATGATTCTTCATATTATGGTTAATCCATTGAAATGAATACTATAACATGATCATTATTATAAATGATTATATATGTATATGATTACTTATCGTTGTACCGCTTATCCCATAAAATAACAGAATTAAGTCCATTACAGAACGGAATAAAACATTTTATCCCTAAATTTCACGGAACTTCCTTGTCATTCCACCGTTTATTCCGTAAAATAACAGGATTAAGTCCATTATAGAAGGGAATAAAACATTTGATCCCTAAATTTCACGGAAAGTTCCTGTTAAATACTGAATATTCCACAGAAATATATAAAACACGTAATTTGAAGAAATAATTCATGCTTTTAACACAATTTTACCAAAAAATCCTTCGATTAACAGAAAAAAGGTGTTAAACTACGGAATTCGGCCACATCAGAAATGGATATTTTTTACAGTGTAAGTTACTTTCAAAAGACGCATTATCGATAAATTGCCGAGGTTCATGGCAAAGGAACGTATTATTCTAATAACCCGTAACGTTGATAGCTCACACACGATTAGATCGTATCTGATAAAAAATAATTTACGTTATATCTTATATGAGAATGGGCATCTGATTGTGTTAGTCTTTGTGCCGGGAGCCACAGTAGTTAAGTGTGTAAGACACTGGCTCGCTAGAATGGAGGTCCCGGATTCGCTCCCGGTATTGGCCGAGAAAGTTCATCAGGATTTTCCGGTGTGGTCTCCCCCTTGTCAGTCGTGCAGGCAGGGGGTGGTCTGACAAAGACAACTGTCTAGTCGTTCGCATGGGACGCAGAACCGAGGTCCCGTGTACACATCGGCGTGCACGTAAATGATCCCTCTGTAGTTGGAATTCGACTTAAGGGTAGGCCGTTGTGCCGCTGTCCGGGCAAAATTTCCCTCACAGCACACTGTATATGCCCGTCTCCTTTAGCCCAGTCGGAGCAGAACAGTAGGACGTTAAACCCCATTTCATTTCATATCATTTCAAGTCTTTGTGTCGTTTTCCTGCGATTTCATTCAGTCAATGAAATCCAATTCGTCTCAGCAAATGTCCGCGTTTTGCAGCAAATATTATTACATTATAATTTCATCAAAACATTGTATTTTTATGATTCTAGATGTACAAACCCCAGAAGAACCAGGCGATTACACAACACTAATAGCTGCTGTAGTATCAACTGTGGTTGCAGTTATTATCGCTTCTGTTGTTATCTTTCTAGTCCTAAAATGTAGAAGGTAAGCTGAATCAGTCGTTCATTCTAGCGCCTCTATAAGTGGACAATCAAAATTACCAAAGAGCATTGATAGTAGTTAAAATGTTTTTTTTTTATATTTAAGTAGAGGCATTGCGTATTCCTGAGCTACTATTTATAATCACACAATTCCATCTCATATGTGTTAAATCATCTACGAAAAGTTGTACGTTTAACAGATGCAGTTGTCACGTCAAAAAAAAACCCACCAATTTAATTCTTTAAGCGATAATATTGTTAATACTTTCTGAATTATTGAAGGTTCGATATTTTTATAAAAGAGGATTCTTAATTTTATTTAAAAATGATCACAAATATTCGACACGTTTTGTAATTTCATTTTGTGCGGGTCTATCTTTTCAGGCGGCAGAAATCAACGGAATCTGGCCATATACCACTAAATGATAAAACTGATGTATCAAGACCTTCAGAAAAAACAGTTAATGGTCAGCCGAGTGTCGTATAATTATAGTTAATCTAGTAGAACCATGTAGCACCATGTCAACCTCATTTTATTTTAGTTTCGTCATTTTTGTTCAAGTGTTCTGTGAATGGCTGGTGCTGAAGTTCAATCTGTTACAATACCGCTATTCGTTTAACAAAAATCATATTTCTATCATGTCTATTTACATAGGAAAACCTGACTAAATAAAACAAACAACCTAGTTTCTAACTTTCCCAAACCTCATATAAAGATTAAATAAAAATACGTATATACATTATTTTATTGTCATGTATAATATATCGATATGTTCATATATCATCTTCTTTACATAGTGGGAGAGAACCCTGCAGAGAGTGGTAATACATATGTTAATCATGTAGGCTCTTCCAACAAACTAAAAGTCGGTGAACAATCAACACAAGTTTATGTAAACGTTGATGGACCAAGTGAATCGTCTAAACGTGTTAAATTGACCAATCTGCTACAATATATCAAATGCAGAAAAAAAGAAAAAACCTTCAAAACTGAATATCAGGTAAGTTAGTAAAATAATTAAAGATGGTATATTCTAACATAAGCTGATCTAATGGATTGTCCTAGTCATGTCCATCAGGTTTGCCATAGAGCCACGTGTCGTGATTTCTATCCCAGGCATGAAAACATCTACATAACAAGAGAAGTAACGATTACCGTTCTCCCCCATTCTGGTTTTCTTCGGCTTTCCTGGTTTCCTTGCAATTGTAAATCGCCTCATACCCAAATACGAATTATTGACACAGATGTCACTTGTTGGTCCTAATAAGCCATATGCCATATAGAACCCAATATGTTTGCCAAGCTTTCTATAACTCTACATTATTTAGTATTGAAATGAAACTGATATGTTTCAATTTAATTAAGTTATGATTTTTAAAAAGAACATGTTCTTGTTTCGTCTTTACTGATTTAATTTCACTTGGAGAGACATATGTTTCAATATTTACTTTACAACACAAATTTGTCACTATCCTTGTTTGTTATTATATATTTCAAATATTGCATAATAACATAAAAACTTGGAATGTTCATCGTTAATTGTGTAGAATTACTGAAGGAAGAATGTTAACACATGCTCATACTGCCTTTGTGTAAAGTTAGTCCCCGTAGATTGACGACCATTATATAAATGGCACCTGCAAGTCTGACAATGACAACATGCCCAGAACTTCATATGGGGCGACAAATCGAACCCTTCGCAAACTGACCGCTGTATTGTCTTCAAATTTTAAAACAAGTCCATTTGATTGTGCGACTTTGTACCAAAGCAATTGTTATGATAGAACATGTAACTATAAGCAATATTAATTCGCTTTCAGACTCTTCCAAGCGGACTATGTTCAGCATATGATTATTGTATGAATGCTGTTAATAAGCCGAAAAATAGATATAAGAATATATGTGCCTGTAAGTGTCTTTAATAAATAATTATATCTGGAATAAATTATGATCTATTTTATCCATGAGACATTGACATTTGTGTGGCCGAATATTAGCGCGCACGTTGCATCATAAGGTCTGTCATTGGGTCAAATGGCATTGTTTCGACTGACCGGCTGTAACTGACAAAGAGTGGGGTCGCCTATCCAAACTCGTGGGTTTTCTCCGGGTCTCCCGGTTTCCCTCCCACTGCTAAAGGCACCTACGCGCAAACGAATTATTAAAGTAAAATTGAACAATATGGTAGTCCAAAAATGACATAGTTAGTGTCGAGTGGACGTTACCCCCTCTCTCTCTCTCTCTCTCTCTCTCCTCCCTGTGTTTTAAATAATCACATATATACCTGTAGACGGATTACATTTAGACGAATAATAATAAAAACATATCATTAGACAGATTTGAATGTATACGGATAATGTATGTTATCTTTTTTTTAAATAATGTGTATTATCTTTGCTTTAAATTGACAGTTGATCATTCACGAGTTAAACTGGATATAGAAAACGATGACCCCAATTCTGATTACATCAATGCGTGCTATATAACTGTAAGTTATTATTTATTTACTAGCTATGTAGGTCCTAGAGATTTCCTACCTGACTACCCACGTTTATCTATTTGTGTAATTTGGTCAAGCGTACCTTTTAGTCCTATGGGCAGTAATCAAAGCTCATCTAGCAAACAATCTGTTCCTAATGTCTACGCCTAAATAGTTACACACTTGATTACACATTTTTTAAAATTCTGATCCAAATGGCTACTAAGTGCTCTCTTTTATATATTTTTGAGCAGAATTTTAACGGAAGCGAAGATATTTAATTAATTTTTAATTTATTGTATGTTATTTTTACATGTTTTACACAGGGATATGCAAATGCTGAAAACAAATATATCGCGTCACAAGGTTAGAAGTTTTTGTAAATATTTTTGATCATTTTAAAATAAAACATGATTTACATGAGGTATAAGATTTATAGATTTTATGTTGTGATATTACAATGCCTCACAAGTTGAACACGTCGCACAGATTAGCAGAATCTGATAACTGTACAGTTTATATCGTATAAGTTATTGATATGTGATACCGTATAAGTTATTGATATTTGATACCGTATAAGTAGTTGATATTTGATAACGTATCAGTTATGGATATTTGATACCGTATAACTTATTGGTATTTGATACCGTATAAGTTGTTGATATTTGATATGTATAAGTTATGGATATTTTATGTCGTATCAGTTATTAATATTTTAATTACCCAAATATATTTTTATATATAGTTTCGGATATACTTTAATTCCTTTTAACAGGTCCGATTGATGTTATTATTAAAGATTTTTTACGATTATTGTGGGTTTCACAGACCGGGAAGATTGTTATGTTGACCAACCTGGTTGAATTGGGAACTGTATGTGCAAAGCTATTAGTTAAATTATATCACAATATTAAAATATAGATGTGTATGGAATGAAGTTATTTTTTAAAAAAAAACAACCAAAAACACAACACAATTTATATGGAAAACAATCACTGGTTTATACACATATAACACGACCAGTGATTGTTTTCCACATAAATTGTGTGGTGATTTCTAATGTGCTCAATCGCTAAAAGCAACTCTCAAGGATAATCATAAAATATGATTTCTCTATGCACTAAGTGCGGATAACATGGCCCCCATAAACATTAACCCTGTTCTCCTCTGGCCTGGGTACATTTGCTATAATGGAATGTTTCACGAAGTGTTCATGAAAATATAAAATCTATGGATTATAATCAGCCAAGTATATTCGTAAGGACTGCATATACGGACATGTGATACAGATAATGCTAATATATTAATCTTAGCTAATATAATTTCCTAGGAAAAATGTTTCAAGTACTGGCCGGACAGTGGCGAGGAAATGAAGTTTGGTCAAATTTCGATGACATTGGTCAATGAAGAGAACTTTTCTCACTTCACAATTCGAACTCTCAAAATCTCAAAAGTAAGTGTTTAATTTGTTAAAAATATACGCCCTGAAACCTTGTAGGCACTATGGACGCACATATCCGTTAATCTCATATTTCATTTTTTAGACCATCAAAAACATTTTTCTATTATTAGACACGTCCAATAATTGATTTAATTAATCACAAAAGTTAACCCCGCTTCCATCCTTTAGTATCGTATTAAGTAATCCAAACGTTAAATATGGATGGCCGAATGGTTAGCGCGTGCGCGCTGTATCATAAGGTATGTCATTGAGTCAACTGACGTGGTTTCGATTGCCCGGTTGTATTTGACAAGGAGTAGGGTCGCCTGTCCAACCTCGTGGGTTTTCTCCGGGTTCGTCGGTTTACTCCTACGCACAAGCGAATTATTGAAATATAATTGAACCATGTGTTAGTCCCGAAATGACCTAGTTGTGTCGAGTGGACGTTAAACTCTCTCTCTCTCTCTCTCTCTCTGCTCTCTCTTCTTATCGACAGATATGTATACAACTATTACCTGTGAATAACTCTATGAACCAAATACGATATCGCCTTAGTTTTGAGCAAATATAGCGATAGATTCTTATAAATAAATCATAAAACATTTATTAAATTGAGTCTTTAAGTTTCAGAAAGAAGGCAGTGAACGATCTAGTCATACTTGTCTTTTCCTGTCGATTAACATTCAAGATGCTCATCGAAACAGCTATCATAATAGTACTATATATATTTGTAGGATGAATGTGGATCTAGAACCATTAAACAATATCATTTTACATCATGGCCTGATAAAGGTGTTCCTTCTGATATTGCATCATTGCTTGAATTCAGAAGTAGGGTGATTAAAGCTGTATCGCCACATCCTGGACCAATGGTGGTACACTGCAGGTAAGTCAACACATTTATTTTGAACTGATATAGATGATAATTTATCCATCTCATAACCAATCAAAAGTAAAACAAATAGGTTTACCGTTAAGGCATTTATGTGTTTTTCAGTGCTGGTATTGGACGGACGGGAACTTTTATAGGTTTAGATTATCTGATAGAAGAAGCTAGAGCAGAAGGTTCTGTAGATATCTATGAATGTGTTAAACAGATGAGATATGAACGAGTTAACATGGTCCAGGCATGGGTATGTTTATTTAATGTATGCCTTAATATCTTATAGTATTATTATTTGAAGGTAAAATCGAATTCTCCCCTATGTAAATATTCCAGGAACAATATGTATTTCTACATGATGCTTTAGCTGAATGGTATATAGCTGGAGATATTACATTTCCTGTGACGTCTTATCAAAGTGACTATCATATATTACTGAAGGTCAATAAAACGTCTGGTAAATCACAGCTTCAAGAACGATTTGAGGTAAATATACAACACTCTAATATCTTTTGACTAACTATACACTCTCATGTAATTTTATGCATGGATCTATTTGTGTGATTTATAATACGAATCTTTATTTCAGATGCTTAATGATTTATGTCCGCCACAAAGAGCAACTGATTGTTCAGTAGCTTTATCAGAAGAAAACCAAAATAAGAACAGAGATCTGGCAATACTAGCATGTTAGTAGTTTTCTTGTTTTATATTTATTATTGTGGTTTCAATGTCGTCTTGACAAACTTACGTAATTCTAGGTTCGTACTAGTGAACTTACTCATTTATATATCTATTGAATAAAACAATGTATAACTTCCATAGAATAAATTACATTTATGTATATTTTATCCTCCCCCCCCTGCGCCCCTCCGCCTTTCGCAGAAAGTAGAGGACTATTAAAATGGACCTGCCCGTCTGTCTGTCATGTTATAAGGACACACAAACTCTCTTTGTAATTGATCTAGAAGGTTCACACTTGGTTTAGATGTTTTAGGTGAGTGCCTTGGTAGAATATAAAGATATACGCAATTTCGGCTAAAGCTAAGCAGAGATAAGCAGTTTTATTCGTTGATACTTTGGGACACGATAACTTTGGTATAGATTCATTATATCAGTATCTTCATTAAATTCGATGATCAGAATTTTCTGTTTATACTAAGCAATTTTTAATTGAGGGAGATTGTTTAAACTTGAGTTCAATGATTAACATTATCCGCTGACGCTAAGCAGAACTTAACAATTTCACTGGTGATCGATGCTTTGGGACTAGATACCTTTGATTTTAACTGATAGAAGGTAATGAAACTTAGGTAGTCGATACGCGAGAGCTTGTTCCTTTTATTCGGATTTGTTTTAAGAAGGTCGAGGCTTTTGCCATCTAAGCGTCAACTACAGGGTTGCATACGGAAGGTTCATTGGCTAATTACGGTATTTTGACTGAGTTTGACCGTGAACATTTTCTGCTTAGACGAAGTATAAATAGTCAGTTTGATTGTTTATACTTTTCAACAAGAGAAAAGTGCAATTAATTAATATGTGTCCTCTATTTATATTAGGATTGCCGTGGTGGACGTCATCCTCAATGTTAGCTTGTTTATTTCAGCCGACAAAGTTCGACTGTGTTTATCAAAACCACAGACCACAGATTATATCAATGCTTTATTTTTATCGGTAAGAAAATAATATTTTCAAACGACTAAACGTGAAATGTAGACCAGATAGTGTATAGTATTGATGTTTAAAATATCATCTTTTAGAATGAAGTACACATCTGTAAGATATTATCTGTTGAATTTTAATTGCCGGTTGGTTTCGTATGGCATATGTCCTCTATTCTACTCAGTAGTTTATAATCTAATACTGGGTATGTTTGCATTTGTATGCCTCCAGGTGTAAGCGAGGGCGAATTATGTCATCATCGATGCCCGTTGGCCAGTCCGTAAACAAGGCTACATGTGTAACAGTGTAAAACATTGGGGTCATGAAAGGATACATCCTATCAATTTTCAGCACCCCGCGACCTTTAGTTCCAGATTATTCCCACCTTTTCTGAAAACTGTGTTAACGCAATACATGCTACGGTTCTTAAGTGATTTATTTTTTTAATTTGGTTCAAAGGGTATCGGTGATGAGAGGACAAACCCAATCCATATTCAGTACCCGCGACCTTCTGTTCCAGCAACATAGATCCTGGGTGAGCGTATTTCCGCGCATTGCGTGGATATCTTAACAATATTTTATTTTATTTACAGAGTTACAAAAAGAAACGTGCTTATATATTGACCCAGACACCCTTACCAAATACAGTGATAGATTTCTGGACGATGGTTGTAGAACAAGACGTTACTACAATAGTTAATATGGATATTACAGAAACAGGAAAGGTAAAATTATCATGCGTTGTCATTAATTCTAAGTCTTGTTGACCGCCAATCAATCAAAATACGAATAGCTAGAACAGGATGAAATCTTATTACACTTAGCTAAACTAAGTTTGTGGGACGGTGGAGATGTATAGGGCTCTATCAGGTAGCTGGAAGCTCTACCAGTAATTCTTCAAGTGATTTCTTTAGAATTTGACAGAAACTGTGATAATACCTTATACGAGAACGTATAATCCCACAAGTTATAAAACTTGTTTGTATTATACAGGATATTGGACAATATGTACCAGGAATTGATGAACTGAACTGTGGACCATATACTATTACTAGATCAGATGAAACAGAATATGAGAATACAATTTATTCCATGGTGACCTGTTCAATTAAAAGTGAAACAGATGTACGTAGGACATTTTATTTTTAATTTAATCTTCCTTTAATGAGCCTTAGGTAATATAATATTAAATCTATATATTAAAATCGGTAATATAAATCTCCCATGTAATTGTCCTAATTTGATATTTTTCATATCCCAAACTCAAACGATCGAAATGGTCGGACTTTGTTTTGATTCCAAAACGTGGATCTGTCAAAGTTAAACTACCCCCGCAACAACTTCATTGGTTTCGCCCACCACGTGACAAAAGCCATGTTGTCCTCCACTCAGTCAAAATTACAAGTATAGTCAAATTTTTCGAGAGGGTTTTATTCCTTGGAATATTTAATGGTGCAATGGATTTTATTTAACCCGAGTTGATTTCAAACACACAGTTCAGTTTATAATAACCAGAGTTAAATAGTTTGTTCATAATCCAAGAGAGAGAGAGAAATGGGGTTTAACGTCCACTCGACACAAACTAGGTCATTTCGAGACTAATATATGGTTTAATTTTATTTACATAATTCGCTTGCGCGTAGGGGTCTTTAGCAGTGGGAGGAAACCGGAGGACCCGGAGAAAACCCACGAGGTTGGACAGGCGACCCTACTCCTTGCCACGTACAACCGGGGATTCGAAACCACGCCAGTCGACTCAATGACAGACTTTATGATACAGCACGCGCACGCTAACCATTCAGCCATCCAACCCCCCCATAATCCAAGAGATCCGTTTAAAATTTACGATGGTTCAGACAGAATGGCAGATTGGATAAGGATCAATAATTATATATCATTAATATAATATAACTTTACAGCACTAGGACAGATTGGGTAAGGATCAATAATTGTAAAACATCAATATAATAATAATGTTACAACACTATATAGGCAGATTGGACAAGGATCAATAATTGTAACTCGTTGATATGATCGGATTATAATTGGGCAGATTGGGGGAAATTGTAGATTATTAATAAAAAGTTGACATATAATATGTCTGTAAATAATTTGTATGTTTTAATCCATCAGGATAACCTACAACGAACAATCAAAATTTATCAGTGTAATTTCTGGAATGCACAGAAGGGGGCACCAACATCTGCTGGGCCAATATTCACCATATTAGAAGATATGAAATCTTGGTCTCAAGAAAATGAAGATGGGCCTATCGTAGTTCATTGTCTGTAAGTCTGTTTTTTAAACAATATACATTAAGATGGACCGAACTTGAGTTTCTTCTTTGTAAGTTTACTTTATTAAAACAATATGGTTCATTGTCTGTAGGTTTATGGTGATTGAGTTTATTCGAATAAATAATCATATGACTGTAATTTCTACTGAATAGTATCATAAACTATTTAAACATTGCTTAAATGACAATCGTAAAACCACGTATAATAAGCAATGCAACGTGAACATGGTCAGCTTTAAACTATAACCCATACTTATGGAAAAACAGCTACTTATTTATTTGGGCAACGTTTCGAAGAGTATTCTTTCAATGTTATCAAGCTATAGTTATAGTTATAGTCTATTGCTCTATCCAGTTACTAAATGCCTCTCAAAAGATTATCATCAGCTTTGTTATTGAAAATGATATTAGTATTTATGGTCAGAATTTATACTTTAACTAAGTCAGATCTCTATTGTGAACCATTCTTTATTTTCAACTATCGGATCAAACCCGTTAAGATAGTTGTCCAGTTATCCCTTTGTTTAACTTTGTAGCAACGGTGTAGAGAAATCGGGTGTATTCTGTGTTCTAGCAGCTATATTAGAAAGATTAACTATAGAACAAGATGTCAGTATTTTACAGACTTTAGTTCAACTACGAGTTTCTAGACCTCAGATTATCACATCTTTTGTAAGTATTATCAATCAAATCACGGCATTGAACATTGTGAAAGACCAGATGGTAGTTAGTGCTGCTCCCGTTCTGTGGCAAGCTTTATTTCTGGAAAATATCACTCATGAGATATTAGACCGGTAGTAAAATTTGCTAGCAGAGATGGAATATTCATCAACATAGCGAGCCTTAAGCGGAATTATGCATTAATTATGTCTCCCATAGAAACCATTTGCTCAATCTACAAGTCAAACAATTGGGATATGTTTCTAAACATACTAATATAATTATCTCTTTATTTATGTTAAATGTTAAATCAATTAAGCAATAACTATTTTGCACTTTTATCGACTTTTCTGCCAGTCCAGTCTACATAAACAAATATTCGGATGTTCTTACCTTTAAGAAGTCTATACTCTATCAAAGTACATATTGTTTAGTTTCGAACTTGTCAGATTGTTCAACTGGTGTAGAAATACTAGTGAGTCATTTCCGTTCGAAGAAAATTACACTGTGATCGAAGTTGTCAATGTAACTATATAAATGTTCAAATCATAACGTGATTGGGGGGATGGTTAGCGTGTGCGCTCTGCATCATGAGGTCTGTCATTGAGTCAATTGACGTGGTTTCGATTCCCCGGTTGTATGTGACAAGCAAGGAGTACGGTTGCTTG